ACATCAATATGTCACAGGATGACCACTGAACCTGGCCAAGCCATGGAGTAAAACCTGTTTGCCGTTGTTTGACCCTAGTAAATAATGTGATATTAACCCACATGCATGCACGCATACACACAATAAAACTTAAAACAACCAAAACATCAATATGCACATTTATCCAGACACGCTCTCACATACACACGCACGCATGTGCGTGCCAAACGTACACAACGTGGACACGTGTACACCAAGCAGATAGAATACAAGGAAGTGGGGTTTGCCATAGTTTTTTTTCAATTTTGTCTGATAAATATTTACGAGACTTTGCATCGAGCGACACCGTGGATAACATTGAGCCAAGAATTATGCAATAAACCAGAAGAGATATCTCTTCACCAGTAGACAAATAAATGCGTAGGTGCCCGGCACCAGCAATCGGGCGAGTCACAGCAATGTACGTATTGCAACTTCAATGATACATATACACGGTTGACCACCCATGCCTCCATTTTCGGTGGGTCAACCACATGGTGGCCCGGCAACTTCAAACGGAACACACCGATACAACATACACAGTTGACCACCCATGCCTCCATTATCGGCGGGTCAACCACATGGTGGCCCGGCAACTTCAAACGGGAACACACCGATACAATAGACACAGTTGACCACCCATGCCTCCATTATCGGCGGGTCAACCACATGGGTGGCCCGGCAACTTCAAACGGGAACACACCGATACAATAGACACAGTTGACCACCCATGCCTCCATTATCGGCGGGTCAACCACATGGTGGCCCGGCAACTTCAAACGGGAACACACCGTCCGATACAACATACACAGTTGACCACCCATGCCTCAAACCGGCGGGTCCACCCCACAACAACATACAGGTGTCACAACACTGAGACAGTACAGCACAACACTGAGAGGCAAATGCATTTGACCCTCCCAAAAACCAGTGTTTACGATCAAGCCATTTCTCACGGCATCGCTCATTAGCATAACTTCCTCCAAGTAACCATGGCAAACCCCTAAGTGATACCCACAGAGCCACACCGGCACAAGGACTGCACAACAAGCGGAAGGCACAACACTGTACAACACTACAAATGTACCTCACTTCTGTTCTCAACACCACATGGGCGTGGGCTGTTCCAGTCTTTGCTGCTAGCCATTGCACAGAGGGTATACGGCTGCACGCCTGACATAGTGATCGGATGCTGCACTTCGCCAGCAGCCTGCACGGCATATGGCTGCTTCACAGACACTTGTACTCCGGTGAGCCATGAGTGTGGCCCCGCCAATGCGCACAGAATGGGAGCTCACCCGGTTGCAGTTGAGGATCCTAGTCGAGAAAACTCGGGAGAAGTAGCCGCCGTCGACGAACACAAACACTGACCGTGAGCTGCCGGCAGTAGCGGTCAGGGACCGGAACTCGGCCATAGCCGAAACTGGGTACATCAGATTATGTGTGCGCAAATACCGGGCTTAAAGTCTGAGTCGCTCATGAGATCATTGCTGGCAGCAATCAGAGCGGCGTGTTCAGCGGAGGAGTTGGCACCAGGCACTGGTTGGCTGTGGAAGCCAGTTCTCGGAAGCGAGTAATCACAATAGGTTCATGCTGCATCTCAGCGGCCTGTTGCCCCAAAAACGATTGTCCTTGATAGAAACCGCAGAAGCCAACATCAGACGCATTCATGAATAGCTCAAGGTCAGGGGACTTGAAAACAGACATCGTAGAAGAAGGATTGGCCATTCCAGTTTTCGGCAAAGGAGCGCGACCATTCGATGTCCAAGTGAGCTTTTGTGTTGAGTTGACTACTGACTGAAGAGACTGAAGAGAGTTGTCCAGCTAAGATACAGGAGTTGACGGATGAAGGTTCTGCCGGGAGGAACCACCTTTGCGGCAAGGACAAGGTTCCGATCAGCGACAGCAGTTCCCGCGTTGTGTAGCTAGTGCGCGTGGACTACTCACTCAAAGCGCTAGAAAGGCAAATAACTTCTTGTCAGGTAGCCGCATCACCTGGTCCTCGCTTGTCGACTTCTATGCCAGTACCGTCACCACTGTTGCTGGGCCGACCACCTTGCTGAGGTTGTCGAAGACCTGCGGAACCGTTGCTTTCAGTTGAACCCATTCCATTGACCATCAGGCACACGAACATAAGCACCTTGTTAAGTGCAGCGTACTGGTTCTTGTGCTGGCCTGCACAGCTATCAGGAATAGTTTTACCCAGATTGACTGGGTTGATGATTTCTCCCTGAGAGAGGGTAATGCCACGTGCACAGCAGATGTGGTGCATAACGAACGCACAGTGGGCATAAAATCTTCATATCCACATCAAAGGCCACAAGCGTTTGACAACCACACCTGATACGTAGATGATCAACGATCGTCCCTGCACTCAACGTCGCTCCAGCAGTAGTAGCATGTTGCAAACCACCATCGTACGTTGTCCATGTAAATGCCTCTGCTCCTTGTCTACTTCTTTGGCTAGATTTTTTGACAGGTAATCACAGCCATTTCTGAGTTGGCGTCAACGCCACTGCCATATCGAGGCCTAAATAACTGGTCAACTGCTTCGAGTAGTTCTTGCTTGGCCTCATGAACTCCAGGAAATTCACTACTGCGACCATGAGCTACTCTATCTGCCCACGCAACAAATAAATATTTCAACCAAGCGCGATCGATCGCTGTTTGAAGTTGTGAATTTTCAAGAGCTTCCAGCTCACACGAGTCAGCGCTTGTCTACGCAGACTAGCACAACTAATACTCTTGTACAGCTTGGCGGAGAGACAAAGGAGAAAACGGAGAAAACACAACCTTGAGTCACTTTGGCTAACTGGATGACAGAAATTGTTGACAAGGAAGTTGCTTTGCTGACACGAGGCAGGGCAAAGCGGCCACGCAAGATTTATTTTTTCATCCACCAAAAAATATTTTTTATTCATGTGCCGCGTGACGAACCGTGACAAAACACGTGCATGCGTGGGCTAACTTGGCTTTGCTGCTCAAAGCCGTCATTTTGTACTCCACACGCTGCAGCCATTGCATATTCTTTGAGAGCGTGCACATCACACAACAAAAACACAATAAGGCGGTGCCTTAGCAGACTACTACTTTAGTAGAAAAGCAATCTGCATTTCCAAGTAGTACAGTTCGGATATGAATGGGAGAGGAGCACGCAGGCTTGCTTACCCATTCTTGGAAATATCGCGTCATGAACACGTGACGGATCTCACACATGCTGGGGTGCTTGCAGCCCTGCAGCTGCCTCACTTCCTCAACCGCATTCCTGTGATCCACGGGAACCGTATACTCATACTTCATGGCAAACAGTTCAAACACAGCAAACACAGGAACAGTGCAAACAACAGTTCAAACAGTTCAACCAGTTCAAACAGTTCAACCAGTGCAAACAGAGCAAACAGAACAAACAGTTCAAACAGTTCAAACAACAGCATACAACAGTAAAGAGCATGCCAGGGTTGCCGTCACTACTACATACAGTCATGTACTGAGAGATGCATCAAGTCCGGCGATAGTCAGCATGAAAAACAGGCTGAAGGGGTCACATAGTTGATACTTGATAGCACATGCCGGGCCAACTTGCGGTGGAGTACATGCGCAGCGTGTGTCCTGTTGGACCATGTGTGTGATTGGACCATGTGTGTGATTAGACCATGTGTGTGTGATTGGACCATGTGTGTGATTGGACCAAGTGTGTGATTGGACCAAGTGTGTGATTGGACCATGTGTGTGATTGGACCATGTGTGTGATTGGACCATGTGTGTGATTGGACCAAGTGTGTGATTGGACCAAGTGTGTGATTGGACCATGTGTGTGATTGGACCATGTGAGTGATTGGACCATGTGTGTGATTGGACCATGTGTGTGATTGGACCATGTGTGTGATTGGACCATGTGTGTGATTGGACCATGTGTGTGATTGGACCATGTGTGTGATTGGACCATGTGTGTGATTGGACCATGTGTGTGATTGGACCATGTGTGTGATTGGACCATGTGTGTGATTGGACCATGTGTGTGATTGGACCATGTGTGTGATTGGACCATGTGTGTGATTGGACCATGTGTGTGATTGGACCATGTGTGTGATTGGACCATGTGTGTGATTGGACCATGTGTGTGATTGGACCATGTGTGTGATTGGACCATGTGTGTGATTGGACCATGTGTGTGATTGGACCATGTGTGTGATTGGACCATGTGTGTGATTGGACCATGTGTGTGATTGGACCATGTGTGTGATTGGACCATGTGTGTGATTGGACCATGGGTGTGATGCTAGTGTACACATAGAGTTCTCAAGAAGGCTTGAAACTGTTGAAACTGTTGAAACTGTTGTGCAGGCACTGTAGAAATACAAGTGCAGCCAGTGCCAGTGATTGGGATCTGCAGAGTTTTGCTTAGCAGCGTCTTCTTGGCCTTCTATTGCAGGTAGATGTGATGGTCTTCACCGCACACAGATGCGTATTTCTCGCGCTCAACTTCGCATCTTGACTGCATACACGGAGCTAATTACATCATGAAGATGACGTATTTCCGAGACATGAGTCGCGACAGCAACCCATCGGCACTTGTACGCTCTGGGCAATGCTGCACACTCTAGCCTCAAGCATAAGCTCATGAGGCAAACAGCATGTTTCCGTGCAGTTCAATGCAACTTCGGCCTGCGTTCGCTTACAGTGAAACACATCAAGGCGACCACTCGGATAATGCGACCACCTGTCTTAGAGGACCACTACATGAATAACTAGGACCGAGGGAATCATTTACAGTAAAACCTGTCGAGGCGACCAGTCGGATAAGGCGACCACCTGTCCCTGAAGACTACTGCAACATGATCAAGAGATGCTATTTCCAGTCAAATGACCCTGGATAAGGAGACCACCTGGTTACAGAGACCACATTTTCAAGGTCCCTTGAGCGGTTGTCTTAGACAGGTTTCACTGTAAAGTCAAATGACCCTGGGTAAGAAAATCGCCTGTATTTAGGGACCACATTTTGAAGGCCCGTTGAGCGGTTGGCTTAGATAGGTTGAAGCTCCGTGCACTGCACTGGAGATTACCGTATTTTTCCGGTTATAAGTTGACCTTTTTACGACTGAAAATAGCAGGAGAAAAGGTGGGGGTCGACTTACAACCGGGATACGACTTATAACCGGGAATTATCGGTATCTTCCAAAAATGACCTGCACTGAATACACGAGTGCACCATGTGTATGCATTTTTGCCAAGTTTATTTGCCTTTTTAAAGGATTGGGATGTTTCAGAATCCAATGAGGAGTGTTTATGTGATTTGTTCATGTGTTAGTAGCAGGGAGCGGTTAGCAGTGCTTCGTTGGGCAAACACTTTAAAAACATAATTAAGACCTCCGGATATGGGGGGTCGACCTATAACCGGGGTCGACTTATAACCGGTAAAATACGGTACTCACAATCTTCATAGCCCGCTTGGTGTTGGTCGACTTATCTGTCACCTCCCACACATTGGTGTAGATGCCTGCACCAAGGAAACCACCAATCTACACAAGACATGCGCATGTACAACAGCAAGCGAGCACACACCTCACACACAGTGGCAGAACAGCACACAAGCATACGCACACGCACACACGGCACACACCCCCCCCCCCCCCCCCCCACACACACACCCACACACCCACCCACACACACACCCGCACACACACACATGATCACATAAGCATGGCGTTACTCATACTATGACCCATCAAGTACATACATATATTATTGTAGTGTTCACATATACATGTATGGACTGTCACACGCATGTATGCACGCGACACCGTTTGTACTCCTATCCATTAATGATTTACATATGCCGCTTCCCACGCCTGTACCGAGTCTGTACTCATGCACGCACACCATTACATTCTGTTGGCATCATATTACAGAGCTTTCCGGAGCTCCGGGTTAGTTGTTGTTTGGAATAAAGAAAGAGAACAACATTACAATAATAGAAAAACTCCCACTAGAAGGGATCTTTCCAGCTAAGATGGGCATGACATTGGTAACGTCTCGACTTTATTTTACTGAGGATCGGGTGACCTGAAAAGGCCTGGAAAGGCCAGACCAACATCTGACTGGCCTCACAGGCCATCACATCCTCTACACATTATGGTATCATACTTCCAGGAGTGTCCAGCAAAACAGCAATACAGATCCAATATCCGCTGATGATCATCATGCATCATGTACTCATGGGCTGCCGCCGCCGCATACTTTGATAGTAGAACACGGCATTGATTTTTGTCCATCCTGCTTTCATGGGCTCTATTACTTGGTAGGGCTCAGTATCAAACAGGTTGAGTTTGCGAAACAAGTTCAGACAGAATCCACATTGACCCAGGCAGTAACCTTCAAGAAATCGGTTGGTGTTCAAGTGATACCTCTGTCAGTTATAAGAAAGGTTAAAATTACAAGTACTGAAGTTCAGGCTTAGCTTGTACTGCCTATTTATAAACTGTACAGCATGCGAGTCTCAACCTATCAGCATCAGAGAGCTATCACTTACACTCAGTACAGTATTGCCAGTCACGTGACCTTGTTCACACACCTACATGTACATCTACTGCACTTGCCTTGCGTTGAGTTATCACCCGCTATGCTCTCCCACATTGTATGTAAAACTCGCAGACAAGGTGCCAACCCTATGCTGTAGTATGCTTGTTTTGATGTTGTCGGTTCTGGCCATAGCTTTCTCCCGTATTTCACCACATTTACATTGTCTCGCCTGTCATCCATCACATTAACTAAAACTCGTACTAAGAGTCGTAGACAAGGTGCCAATGTGCCCAGTGGCAAGTGTGCTGTATGTGGAAGTGGATCGAAGAGCAAAGTGCAGCCACCGTCCAACATGCTACAACGCTACAACGCTACACACACACACACACACACACACACACACACACACACACACACACACACACACACACACACACACACACACACACACTTGAATTGAAGAAAAAAACTCCAGCCTTCACCAGCCCGTAGGTACTCCAACTCCGACAAAGAAACCTAATGGTTTCAACCTCTCCTCTCACAACCTCACGAGAGATCAAACCAACCTCCTGGAACTGGGCCTTGATTTCGGCCTCAGGCCCACCGAAAGGAGTTCCAAGAGAAGAGATCATTACAAGAATGGAGATGTGGGCAAACAAACTTCCGGATGATCGCCGTGGCCTGGCAATAGCCACATGCAAGACAGTGCAAGAAGCACTTGACCCCGCCACTAGCGTGACCGGGCCCGAACATAACAAGAGCACAGGCCTGAGTGCTGAGAAGCCTCCGGAAATTGAACACAGTCAAGATACTGCCAGCAGACAAAGGACGAGCGGTCATGCTGATGGACCTAGCGGACTACAATAAGAAGATTCAAGAACATCTGAACGACCATACGACCTACCCCCCCCCCCCCCCCCCCCACCACCACCACCACGGGATCCCACGGACGGGATTGTAGACAAACTCCTTAGAGTTCTACGACCAATGGAAAGATGGGTGATGAAATATCTCGCTCCCAGACGCTATTCTACAACCCTCAGGCGTGCACGGGCAGCACGGCTCCACATTTCTATGGTCTTCCCAAGATTCACAAAGACAACATACCACTCAGGCCAATAGTGGTGGCCATTGGCTCTCCGGTCCACCGACTAGCACCGTTCCTGGCTAAATTTGTATGGACACTCACAGGCGAGTCACCGACACATGTCACAAAATCTCAAGAATTCATCTCAACGATAACGGACACTTCCATAGACGTCAAAGTGGCAGAGTTAGGAGAACCAAGCAAAAAAACTCGCCCATATTACATAACCCGGCCAGGTGTTCTAGAGTTTTCGGTGCGTGAGCCAACAGTAGAAGTAGTTGGATTATAGCTCATGCTACACGTGATCGGGTAACACTATTTGACAGATGTCACCACAAAGTAATCAAAGGTTAAACCACAAATCGACAAGGTCAAACCACAACCTGTCAAAACACTTCCAGGTCACTTCCACTGAGGTCACTTCCAGGTCACTGACTTTGTTCTAGAACCCTCCTGAAACATACTCCTCAACCACATAATGGCCAGCTTCGACGTGAAAAGCTTGTTCACGAAAGTTCCTATAATACACCACGATGAGGATTCTCAGGGAGCATACTTGCCAACCCAGCCAAAGCAAATGCCTTAGTCACACACCCAGTTTCCCTAGTTTTCGCCGATTTCGGCCATTTTCTTTTTCTGAGAAGTTTTTATTTTTATTTTTTATTCATTTCTAACCCATTGCTCATTGGGGGACCAAAACCTGAGTTTCTTTATTGTCAGACCGCACCTACATGTGTGATTCTGTGAAATGCAGGGCCGCATGTGCCCCTTCTTTAAAGGGGAAGTGCATCGATTTTTCGAGTAGGGTCCAGAAGAAAGACAATTTGATATAGGTTCGAATGGCGTATCTCTCGCTTCCATACGATAAGCCAAACTTGCCAAATCGCCAATTGTATACACACATTGCCATAGCGACCAGCGCAGTGATGACGTATGAAAGGCTTAGCTCCTCCACAGAGATGGTCGATCACTGCAGAAATTGGTCATTTTCAATTGTCTTGTTGTATTCACGATGTGAAAGAAGCGCTGTATTCAATGCTGTTAGTGCCGTGAACTGTTTATCGGCCTTCTCCTACATTTCCCTAGGCTGACTGTGCCTGGGAAATGGTTCCTCTAGGAGAAGATGCTTGGTATTCGCCATCTCTCCTGAGACATTTTCAGCAAACTTTCAAACGTACGACATTATTTCATTCGTCAATCTCCACCACCCGTCGTCTCACCTGGCTTCAGAAGATGTTACGAGAGATAGGAGAATCGCCAGGAAGCATCACATCCATCTTCAGGAAGTGGAAAGAGAAAACGGCATGGTCCTTGGTTGGGGGAAATGCTGAACGTCTGATTTGTCCAACCAAGATTTCAGCATTTTGTTCGTCACTATTTTCGCTTGTCTGCTGATGTTTTCGCACTCCAACTTTCTCCTGTCGGTGTCACGTCCCATAACCCAACCGAGAGGACTACTAATAAACAGTTCACTGCACTAACAGGATTGAATAAACCTTCGTGAGTACAATAAACCAATTGAAAATGACCAATTTCTACAGTGAATCGACCTTCTCTGTGGTGGAGCTAAGCCTTTCGAAAGTTATCGCTGCGCTGGTCGCTATGGCAACGTGAGTATACAATTGGCGATTTGGAAAGTTTGGCTTATCGTATGGAAGCGAGAGATATGCCATTCGAACCGATATCAAAATTTGATATCGGTGCGATTAATTGTCTTTCTTCTGGACCCTACTCGAAAAATCGATGCACTTCCCCTTTAATACACCAAACTTGAAAAACAACCGTTTTTTGAACACTCATGGTTCAGTGCCAAAACAGGTAGTTTTTCGATCAAAGTCAAAAATCCCCGGTATGCCGGTAGTGACCATAGTTTCCTGGTATAAGGCCACACTTTGTTTTTTCTATGTTTCTCGTCATCGCCCGCGTAGGTTTTCAGAAATTTCGGAAGAAAAAACAAGTTCATACTACGTACATGTACATGTGTACATGTATGTACGCTGCACATGCTGCAGCAGCTAGATGCGTCAATCAATAATCGTAAACGTTTCCACCACAGCATGCAGCAAAGGAGCGCTCCTCGTCCGTTCTCTGCGATGAAGGCTGTCATGACGAAGCTTTCAGTCGTTCACTGGCTGAGCTGAGCCTCGTGGGTCCCAGGAACAGTAAGTCGGACGAGTTCCGCGGCAACTGGCGTCTGTGGAACGATGTCGTAGGCAGAAAATCCAAGCAATAGACGCATGGCAAGGAAAAGATGAGCAGCATGGAGACAAGAGTTTGATAAGCGGAGACAAGAGTTTGATAAGCGGACACAAGAACGTTGAAGTAACAAAACAAAAAATTAATGACGAGTGGGAAACGTTTGTTGATGCGATAGCAGATAAATGTATGTTCTCTTCGCCATCTCGTAATCAAACTTTATGCTCTCATTGACATTGTTGCAGTTTGCCTGATATTCGTGGGCTGATGTGATAATGTAGTGCAATCATGTATGGGACTACATGTACATGATTGTACAATGTATACATGTACATTGTAAAATGTATACAGTTTTCAGTAGAAATTGTTCTTGTTTTTTCCTTGGCTTTTGTTTTTTTTCCGCCCGCCCGCGTACCTTTTGTTAAAATTTGCCGACGAGAAACATAGAAAAAACAAAGTGTGGCCTAATACCAGGAAAACCAGTATGGTTGGCAAGTATGAGGGAGAAACTAGCAGCACAAGATCCTAGTGAATGAAAAACTTCACTGTGTGTTTTAACAGCATTACTACACTGGTTGAGTTCTGCGTCAACAACACGTATTTCAGATATAAAGACGAGAGTTCTTCATGCAAACCAGAGGAGCAGCCATGAGTTCCCCACTTTCTCCGGTCTTAGGAGACCTATCCACGGAATGGCAGGAGGAGCAATTGCTAGGG